CTATTCCTCCTTTTCCATTATCCTTTGGTTTATCCTGCTATTATAATTATATCACCGGCTTGGCTCGGGATGTACTGGCGCGCTATATCCAGCATAATCTAGCCGTAATCCCTTAAAGCCAATAGCCTCGCACGGCTATACGCATGGTGATTCTAATTCTAGAAGGGTCACTTGGTAATCAGAGCCAAGGTTTCAGCTCAGCGCTTAACCGCTGGGCCCCCAGGAGCACGCGGAGGATGGAGTCGAATCTTCAATTCCTGTAAGTACAATGCACTTTCATTTAAAGCTCGATCGGCAGGTTGCACAATGGTACTGTTGAAGTAGGTGGGGCGGCAGGTTACGATTGGTTGACGAGGAAAAAGATAAGTGAAATGTTTTTGCGAAACTTCATATTCGTCCACCTTGAGTTTGCGCGGGAGTTCCCAAGGGCTACGCAACCTGGCAGAGGTGTCAGTTTTGAGCCCCGTCATTTCGCAGGGTACTCACACCTGCCTCTTTGCCATGTTGCAAGGGGGCTTTTCGTGCCTGCGTTATTGCGCTAACAGCCCACATCATTTTTTATTTTTTTTGTTAGGGCAAGTTGAAAGGAAACGAACTCAACTATTGGGCTTCGGTTTCGCCCTTGTGCAATCAAACACACATTAGTACACTTACGCTAAACCACCTGAAAGTCAAAACTTGTACGAGTAATTACCATTTGAGCACACTTTGTGCTTGTTCACCTCGATACTTGGCAGGGACGCAAACTTGCCAAGTTTGTCGAGGCACAGAGTTGAGGTGTTTGAGTCTCGTCAACCACTACTACGGGCGGGTTCGGTTACAGGTTCTCAAGATGCAGCATCTTGAGGAAAAGAGAGTTGCAACATGCTGGTCGGGCTTTAACTTTCAACCTACCTCTCGCAGTTGCATCTGGGGTCCCCATCGAAGGCGAGATGCCTCGCCGACCGTTCGATGGACAGCATCGACGGTGCCGAGTTTTTCGCGGGGGCAAACGGCCTCGACTTCGCGAACGCGTCAGTTCTGGCGGAACATTCCCTGCGACCTTCCGAGGAGTTCGCAGTTCGCGACGACACTTGGAGTTGCGCGGAAATGTGCGGAGCTGCGACCGACGACATCCGTCCGATGGGGATTCGACGCTTCAGATCGACCGAGGCGAAAACGAAATCCTGCTGAGCGAGTCTGAGTTTCAACGCGAATGGGAACGGGACCTCTCTAGTCGCGAAATTCTTCGGAGCGTTGGATCGATCGACAGCTGACATCGACGACCGACAATTGTTGCAGGAAACGAGTCGACCCGTGCACCGAAAGCTGCTGAACGGGTCTCAGGAATATCTTCAGATCGGTTGGAGTTTGGACCGTCGGATCAACGACTTCTTCAACGGACGAGATGGAGCGCGACTTCTGCACAAAGGGAGAATGACGCACAGAACCAGAAATCAGCCGCTTTCGACAACGTTCACATCATCTGGACTGCCAAATTCGGATTCCTCCATTTGGTAATGAATATGGCGCAAAAAGTATCTACAGAGTCAGAAATCTGCCAGAGTATTACCTACTTGGTATTAGCTGCAAGTAGAAAACTGACAGGAGAACGTGGATCGTCAGATCGTTGCGGAATCAACGGCACGAATGCAGCAGAGACTACACTATGGAAAGCATCATCATGGAGACAACATTCGTGACCAGGGACTGAACAATCGACGCATCTTCTGACCAGTGTCGACAACGATCGATTTATTTTGACGAAGTCATTTTCGTTACAAATGGATCGACATCAACACAGCAGATCTTCACCCAGGAAAACAATGGAGCTGCGTGAAGACATGTTCTCCATCCATGAGACACTTCATCTCATAGATTTGATCGACAACCTATGGGATTGCAGAGAAGTAGCCATTTTCTCGGGCAATATTCCCAACATCAAGTTGCTGCAAAGGAGCAAATTTCGCACGCAACAACGACGCAGTGAACCCATCTCGTCAAGGCCAGCGAGACACTACTTTGTAACAGGAGCTGACCGATTCATCTTCATCAAGAATCTCAGCCATCCGAAGTTATTGATTGGAGCAGTCTCAACATCAACCTCACGAGGCGACACACCAATCATGCATTGCGATTCCAGGTGTTAATGACCTGCGTGAGAAAATTTTCCGTGCATGTCACGATGCTTGACAGATTGAGGAGTAATTAACCTCTAATATGGCAAGTACTCGCTCACTAGCGACCCTACGGCACATGCATTGGAGGCGATTCTACAAGAAGCCGAAGCGTTACAAGCATCAGCGTAACTTCGACGATGCAGGAGAACGCCAAGCAACATGAGGTGTCAACACGTGAAGGAGATGCGAACTACTACAACACAATCACGCACTCTACCGACCGTACATCGGAGGCACGGATGAGCATACCAAGAATTGCTACCCGTTGATACATTGAGGGGAGAAGCAAATATCTCTTCATACCCTCAAATGAAACAATCACCGGCAGCAATGGAGCAACACATGTGTACTAATGTGCACGTGTTCCTGGCAGTTACGCCTGTTACACCCATCATGAACACTTTACTGGGAAGAGGGAGTTGATGGATTCTCCTTCAACCATTACGAGTTAAGAGAATTCTCTGCAGCAGCTGCCGCCGTTGCCATCGTTGCAACCGCCGCCGCCGCCACAGTAGAAGACTCGACAAAACAGTCATATCCAAACCATGATGGATGATTCTCCGCTCAATGGAGATAATGCTGGATTATATTCCAGTATGATCGTAAAGTCCCGGCCAGGCACAATACTATTATTTCCAGCTAGTGGGAAAAGATACCACTATGCGAGGGAACAACATGGCAATGCCATATACCCTCAAGAGCAGAAGATATTTGCTCTTATGAGGATGGGAGGACTAGGTAACTCTACCGGTATACAAGTCCTCATGGCCTATGGCTTTCCTTAAAGTCATAAAACCTGCGTCGCAACCAATCCATCACCAGCACAAACTCCACGGAAGCAGATAGGCGTGGAATGGAGCGCCGATACCACTCCGGATAGTGGACTCCGCGTATCTCCAACAACACCCCTATTTGCCGAAATGGAGCAAACTTCAACATTGATGCTGAGTAGCTGAGACATCTTCGACATCAACACTACTTCAAGGACAGTAACAGGATGAGACAACACATGATGGCACCAGAAGACCTATCCCAATATGTGCGCCCAGATGCCTACCGATGGCCTCCGTGCTAAACTGGAAGTGCCCAAGGTCATACTGGATTGGCTATGACCGATGCCCATTTGGAAATGGGAGAGGATTATTTGGGAATAGCCCTAATATTCCCAGATATCCTAGCCCATCACCATGGGACATCCACGCAGCAGAGATTCCTTGATTGAGCAACCACCGAGGGAAACTACTTTGGCGCCGATTCTGGATGTTACCAGCTCCGCGTTTATGGTACCAACCCCTCGCATGGTTCTGAACACAAGGGATACCCTGAGCAGCATTTCGCATGCGCTGTTGTACTCAAGGCAGTGTGATTAGCAGACCGCGTAGTGGACAGGGTTACTACTAGTGATTCTGCTCTCCAATCCCGCAGCACTATGATGCCAAGAGGGTACGACTCGCGACAACACTACGGCATGGACTATCATTCGACAGAAGATGCGTGTGTCGGATACAACACTTCTACAAAATCAGTTCTATGACACGAATGCAACACCACCAACACTTAGTCATCTTCATACGTGGACAGGATGCGAGTAACACCAGGATGTGCTACCCGAGACTCAACGCATGCTACAGTGTGCCAGCTAGAGCACCCACCGAAAGGACACTACATCTAGTATTCCGCTACAACATCTCAATCACGATCAACGCCATCCGCGTACCACCTACAGACGCAACCCGCTCACACCACAACAACCGACAAATCCATTTCATCACCGTTGTCCATCAGCTCTAACACCGGACACGCCACTTGGACATCCAACAGTAGCAAAAGCACCTGACTACTCATCACCACAGTTATCCACACCATAATCTCGACATCAGCCATCTTCCATCCAAGCTTCAATCTTGCTTCTGCGGGTCTATCCTCGTTGAAGCAAAGGTCACTTAAGTCACCTTCCGCTTCCGCCTACCAGCCACTTGGAAGATCCATACCGCCTTCCATACCAGCTTCTTAAACCCTATCAAGACCAAACACGCTCTACACCGAATGCCAACCACTGTCACCGCCCGTGTTCATCCACGACATGGGACAACTACGTGCTCGAACACCGTCGTCGTCAGAATGGCACTCTGGAGCTTCTTCTTTGCTGGAAGGGTTATAATACTTCTGAGGCAGTGTCTCTGAATTCGACATGGGTAACGCCCGTCGTCCTCTTCGCGACTACCTTGTCAAGCAGGGTGTTACGTCTACCACCCAGCTTTGAGGGGGGGGAAGTGTGAGAGTACGACCCCGTTACACCAATTTCCCATTTCCATATTTCCTTTCTATTTCATTCCTCTTTTTATCCTGATTCATTTGGTCTTTATCTCATCTCATTTGGCTTCCTATTCCTCCTTTTCCATTATCCTTTGGTTTATCCTGTTATTGTAATTATATCACCGACCAGGCTCGGGATGTACTGGTGCGCTATATCTAGCGTAATCTAGCCGTAATCCCATAAAGCCAATAGCCTCGCGTGGCTATACGCTGGATGATTCTATTTCTAGAAGGGTCTATTCCCTTTGGATAGGATAAACCTGGTTACCTGATGTACTGTGGAAGTATAAAAGCACCTTGTACTGATTGATAGTGGAACATTGAGCTAATCCTCATTCGATCCTGTAACAGTTTCTAACTGCGTACTCGTAGGGGTCATGTTGTTTCATAACCATCCTTCTCCCATTTCTGCTCGACCAAAGGGTCGGGTGGCAGGAATCACATGGGTACCCAAGTGAGCGAGACCAGACAATTTGCTAAGGGTGGATGTGTCATAGTCAATTGCAGGAGGGATAGCTCCCATTCAGTTGCCAAAGAGGGAGTGGCTCATGTTCAATTGCAAATGGGGCATGGCTGATATTCATGCCTTCTCCCTAGCGCTCGAGCCTTCGTCACCTCTCTCTCTCTCTCTCTCTCTCTCTCTCTCTCTCTCTCTCTCTCTCTCTCTCTCTCTCTCTCTCTCTCTCTCTCTCTCTCTCCCTCTCTCTCTCCTTCTCTCTCTCTCTCTCTCTCTCTCTCTCTCTCTCTCTCTCTCTCTCTCTCTCTCTCTCTCCCTCTCTCTCCTTCTCTCTCTCTCTCTCTCTCTCTCTCTCTCTCTCTCTCTCTCTCTCTCTCTCTCTCTCTCTCTCTCTCTCTCTCCTTCTCTCTCTCTCTCTCTCTCTCTCTCTCTCTCTCTCTCTCTCTCTCTCTCTCTCTCTCTCTCTCTCTCTTTCTCTCTCTCTTTCTCTTATGCTTCTTCACTTGCTTTCTCTTATGCTCTCTCTCTCTCTCTCTCTCTCTCTCTCTCTCTCTCTCTCTCTCTCTCTCTCTCTCTCTCTCCCTCTCTCTCTCTCTCTCTCTCTCTCTCTCTCTCTCTCTCTCTCTCTCTCTCTCCTTCTCTCTCTCTCTCTCTCTCTCTCTCTCTCTCTCTCTCTCTCTCTCTCTCTCTCTCCCTCTCTCTCTCCCTCTCTCTCTCGCTCTCTCTCTCTCTCTCTCTCTCTCTCTCTCTCTCTCTCTCTCTCTCTCTCTCTCTCTCTCTCTCTCTCTCTCTCTCTCTCTCTCTTTCATCAAGGCCTTGCAAAAGTTTTTTTTTTTTTTTTTTTTTTTTTTGTAATCTTAGTTTCAATGCGCCATAACGGCATACATGTTCCATACATCGAATAACACAAGGTTCTAGGCCCACGACCTTCTCTGCCCCTAGGGCTACCCTAGTCTACTAGGACATTTGCCTTGTCCTAAGGCCGGCCACCAGCCATGCACCCCCGGTGCAGCCCAATATGCTTCTTGCATATTGGCGAAGGGCGCCGCCCTTACCCCCGCTCACACCACTGGTGAGGGGTCTTGTGCACCACGCCCGCACATGGGGCACGCGTTAGCCATGTGACCTGGCTGTCCACAGCGGAAGCACACGCCCTTGAAGCGTGGCTGCTGGCACGTGAGAGGGGGGGAGCCTTTGAGGTCCATTTCTCCGTCACGGCCGAGACGACCACCACGGGGGTAGATGGCGCGCACGCGCTTAAGTGCAGCCACGTCGGCGACCGCCAGCTTGTAGGAACGGGACGTCAGCACACTTTTGGTCTGGTAGAGCTGGAAGCGAACAGCGGCCTCGAAGCCGGCCTCATCCGCCACGAGAAGCACCTCGAAACGCTTATTAATAAGCATCTCGATGTGTTTCACATTGTTGAGTGCGCCGGTGGCGCTGCCGTGGTGCAGCTCGAAGTCAATGTGCTGCAGGTGCGCTTGGATAGCAGTAAAGACTTCGGCCTGGTCACGCACGCCCTTACGCATGAAGGTAGTTGCTGCGGGCGTGGGACCAAGGGGGGGGAAGAGGGGGGGCGGGGGCGAGAATGCGATGGCGAGCAATATTGGCAGGAGCCTCACCATCATTGTTTTCAGAGTCATCGTTGTCGTCGGTGTCGTTGGCGAGTGCGGCAGTCGGTGCCGGCGGCTGGTTGTCGACGCGCGGAGCTATTGGCGCTCGAGTAGGTGGTGGCATTTCTTTCTTCTTGGCGAAATTGGTCGTGGCAGTTATATTGTCCGAAGATGTTCGGAGCGTAACATTCGGCTGCTGGTGTAACAACGCCAGAAGCGCCTGGAGCTGTTGCGCGGACAACGCGGGGCGGGGGCGGCTGGCACGACCTCGTCAACGGGCGTGTGCTCGGTGGGGCCCGCCTGGCCTGCAGCCGTCGCGACGTGCGCAGGCGCGTGGTCCTCCGTTGGCAGCAGGCATGGCTGTTTC